TCTCTTTCTCTCTCTCTCTCTCTCTCTCTCTCTCTCCAAACTCCAGAAGTTTTATCAAATCATGTGGCACTTTGAGGTTGAATGTCCCTTACTTAATCTAAACTGTCAAAAGTTTACTTTGAAAGACCCACAGTGGTGAAATAGCACTTTAAGATATTGAATTTTATTTGAAGTATTTTGATGTCTCATTTTTTAATCTAAAAAAAGGCCACCCATACATGTGCGTGTTTTTTGTTTTATGGTGATTAAGGTTTGAAATTAAACTTCTAGTAGATAAAGAAGCATTTCATAGGTGCTGGAAGCTTACAATCACTCAAAGAATTTTTTTGGAAAAATAAATACTCTTAATTTGCATTTTATGCCCTACTTCATTGTGTTTATATTTCCTCATTGATTCAAATATGAATTGATTCAGTGAACTCATTTAATTGAATTTAAACCTTTCAGTATTATTGTCATTTTTTTGTATAACTCAGTAGTCTATGAGCACTTGTGTTTATTTTAGTGCCAGAGATTCATATTTGCGTTTTGAAACAATTGTTTTCAATTGTTCTTGAGCTCCTTTTAAAATTTTGATATTGTGCAAGAAGTCTATAATCAAAATGCAATGAACTTATTTAATGCTGTTTTAAAAATTTTTGGACGCAAGTACTTATTTGAATGTTGTATGATATTTTGGCCCTGGAAATCCATATCTATAAACACAATTATTGCTTGCTAGCTGAGGAGCCCAGAGTAAGTGAAGGTTTTGAGAGAGCTTATAGGGCAACTAGTAGGGCCATTAGACAAATCAAAGCCAACCGTTGCCGCTGTTCCATGACTTTGATTCCTGTATATTTTTCACAATTTTTTTTCACTAATTATTTGTTTACCAATAGGTTTGTTGGAATTAATTTATTCTTAGATTTACAGCAGCATTTACCATACTATAGAGCGGGGAAAAATTTGTTATCCTCGGATATGGTTTTAATGGGTGAATCAATGTCCTTCATACTTTGCACAGCAATTTGTATCAATTTGTCTTAGCATGATTATCTTTTTCCACAACAATTGAGGCTAGATTAAAAAACCTTTCTTCATAAATTTATATAAAATACTATGAATCTCTGTCACATGGAAAATTGGAGTACTCACAGCACTTCCGGCTTCTCACACACATTTTGCATATATGCATATGGCTTACGTCCCTGCTAACCAATGACACTCTTATGTGGCAAAACTTGTTTCCGAAAATTGATTCTATAGTGAACACTTTTTTTTGCACTAAAGGTTCCCACAACATACATTCAATAAGCATAGTGTCAGGATTAGGACAAACGACAGACTTGCTTTTAAAAATGCTATTTTCAAGATCATGGGATGTATACCTTTAAAAATCTGTACAAAAACCACCCTTTAGGATTTTTTATTAGGGTTTATTAAGGAATTTTGTAGAATAAAGCTTACAGGTGTTTACAAAAATATTGTTACGGCAAATCGATCCAAGTGATTGTGCAAAAGCCAGAGATTCAATGTTGCATAGTGGAGGAAATATTTGACGTTGCGCCGTGAATTTTTGACAGCACTAAAGATTTACCTTCAGTGTCCTAGTTTTGTGGCTTTACTTATGAAGAGACTGCTGTTTCTTTGGGGTGCTTTTGTATAAACAGCAGCTCTCACAATACATTTTGTTCAGGGTTTGGTTAAAGTGTGAGATAACATGGTCTTGATTAAAGTCTAAAGCAATGGAAAGACACTCAAATCTCTCCTTGTGATGTTATATAAATGTTTCCCGGGAGCATCTAAACTCTGTATGATGCATAACTACTTTGTTATGTTGTCATAAGTCTTTTTTTGCAAATGTACATTCAGTGATTGACTTGGGTTTTTTGTGGGTTTTTTTAAAAACCAGAAATGCAATGCTTAGTGTGAAAACAAGGTAAATTATAGTTTTTGCAAGATTATTGGTGAGAGAGCTTGATTTACTTCTTCTGGATCTGATGCATTATGTGAAATTACCACATTCTGTGGGAATTATGAATCTAGTCATTGTCAGTGTATTGAATCTTTTAAGGTTTTTAGGAATTGTTTAATATCCATTGTCAATTTTTAAGTAAGAGTTGTGTTTACTGCTATTGAAATGAGTGTATGAACGTTGGTTTGAATATCAATGGTATGTATGATGGTTGAGTTCAAGAAGCCCATACACCACAGAATGAACATTTTTCAGGAGAAGGAAAAAACTGATTTTTTTTGGTCCTTGACCTAAAGAATTCATTTTAAAGTATTGTTCTCTCTGGGTTCTGTGTAGTTTGGTATTGGTTTATATTCTATTAAGTAATTGTTTCTTGTGGAAGTAGTAGACCTTTTGTGGTTTATGGGAAACTCCTATGGTTTAACTCCTTATCTCCAGCATGCCACTCCTTGTGGCTCGCGGTCAGAACTGGTGTGCGGATGAGCCACTGGCAGCGGCTCGGGCACATTCAATTATGATGACTTCGACGTAATATTAATTTATGGCAGTTGTTTGTGCATGTATGTAGCAAGATGTCCTAAGTGGTCAGCAGACTGAAGCCCTCTGTAGCAATTATTTTTAGATCTCTCATGTATGCTTTCCCAAAACCTCGTGTATTGCCATCTAACAGGTCTTCAGTTTGGCAATATTTAGTCATGCATTGTTAATCCTTTCTGTTACAAACTCACCACATTGTTGAGGGATTTCTCCTTATTCACACTGGACAGTGTGAGGTACTCTTTATCATCAGTGGAGTATTCAAAGTCGTTGGAATCGCTTATTTTTTAGGAATCAATTGCAGAAAAGATAGAGCTTTTGTTTGCAAACTGTAGCGTCAAATGTTTCTGCGAAAAAGCACAAGACAAGCCCTTCTCTCTGTTGCATTGGAAGAACAAATAACTACTTTCCTGTTTTGTTCAGGATATGTGTGTTTACTTTCCTGCCTCTGTGGAATATGAATTTTTGGATGAGGTTGCTATTGAAAACAGTGACCGCAGAAAACACATTTTTGAGAAAGAAGCCCTTATAAGTATAAGTGACTCAGGGGTTTATTTCCCTTTGCCTAATGTTGAAATTTGGGGGTTTGTACAATAAAGTAGGCTTTATCATTTTCCCAAAAAGAATATACAGGGTTTTTTTTGTCTTCTTTATTTATATTCTGATTCTCACGGCAAAAAAAATGTGTGGCGCAAAAAGATGGATGATTATGAAAAAGTTTTAAAAAAATCAATTTTAGAAAATTGTGGTATACTATACAGGTTTCTTGAACTGAACCATCAATATATATATACCGTTTGAGTGATAATGAAAAAAGAAAATTGCCAATTTGTTTTGGCTATTTTCAGGATTTATTTGCATGATTGTCTGTCTGTTACTGACTTAGTCTGTCTGTTTGTTTGTTTTAGTGCCTTTCCATATTTTGTCTTTAACTCTCGGTCCCTGTCTCTCTGTCTGTTTATGTGTGTCTTTCTCTCTTTATTACTCTCTCCTCTCTCTCACTCTCTCTCGCACTTTCTCTCTCTCTCTCTCTCTCTCTCTCTCTCTCTCTCTCTCTCTCTCTCTCTCTTCTCTCTCTCTCTCTCTCTCTCTCTCTCTCTCTCTGCTGTCACAGTCAAACTATCACATTCTCAGTCTTCTTTATGGTCTTAACAGAATTGAGCAAAGAGTAACTAAGTTGTCCTTGGGTCACCTAATATATGTAATTTTTCTGAGAACACGGCTGCGTGAACTGTTCATTTCGCTCAACAACAACAGCAACGGCTATAACGATACTTTCCCCACACTCACCTTGCAACAAATAAAGATAATGATAAAAATCGACGGCATAGACAGTTATATAACCTCTTAACAACTTAGAAAACAGATTCTGTCAGCAGTCCTTTACTAACAAGCATTATTTACTATAGACAGCGGCTTTTGCTGAAAATATACTTGAGTAGAATGATTTTCGAAATAAATTATGGATGTATTTTTTTGACAGTTTAACTGTGTTACTTGAATACATAAGCCTACTCCTTTCAGTAAATTAAACGTAATCTAAGTACTTTTACTTACCCAATTTACTGCCAGTGATGATGCTCACTAATCTGTTGTGATGACATATCATACTAATGTCTGGGTATTTTCCCATTTTAGAAGCACACGCACGCACGCGTGTGTGCGCGCGTGCCCATGTATTAAAACATGCCCAGACATACACACACATCTCACACATGTCCCAAGCTGAATAAATTAAATATTATCAGTTTCATTGTTGACTTTGTAAAGTTCATTGTCTTAAATATTAATGTTGCAATTGATAATGTAAGTCAATGCTCTGTCACAGTTGTGCCCTCCCACAGACCAGGCACGTTTATTGTTGGAAAGTTTTGCTCATAGTCAATGAACATTTTGTGCCTCTAACAGTTTCGCCAATCTGTTTCTGCCGCCCATAATAATAATTAATAATTTTTGTCACAGGGGCCAACACAAAACTGGAAATGCCAGAGAGCGCGCATGCACACACACATCCACAAACACACACACACACACACACACACACACACGCACACGCACACGCACACGCACACGCGCACACACACACACACACACACTCAGTGTCTTTCTCTCTCTGTCTCTCTGTCTCTCTGTCTCTC